TTGTTACTAAAAGGGTTACCCGTGGTATTAAATTTCTTTTTTTTGTTAAGGTAAGTCTTCCCACACCACAATCTACACCAACAAGTACTATATGTTAATTTTCAATTAACACAAGCACTATTAGCTATCAATAAGCTCCCAATTCTCCCAAATCTCACTCATATTCTCAACAAAGAGGCTTGCTAAGATTAAAATTTGTTCATACAATCCCTTTAAGCCTCCCTCTAACTCTCTCACAATATAAAACTCAATATCTCAACTTATCACACCTCAAAATCTCATGATCAAGTTAGGGCTTGATCCAAAATTCACCAAACAATAAAGTAGCTTCATATTACCACATATCCAAGATCAATCAACCTAAATCAAACCTTTAGAATTAATAAAAACCTTCAAAACATTGACTCATGGCTTAATCCAATTAGACCAAATTCTCCCTCTTCCAAATCCCATGGAAAATAAGATGAAAAGGTAGAGGAGAAGAGTCAAAAACTTACTCAAGAGTTTAAAAGCTCAATTTATCTTTAAAATCCTCCTAAAATGATGCACTAGCAGTGTCCAAAGTTGCCCCCTTTGTGCTTTAGGTTTCCATCATAAAATCTAATTTTTTCTGATCATTTTCAAAATTTCAAGTTGTTTGCTATGCCATGCACCGTAGTGCATGCCACGCAAGCCGTGGCTCATGACATAGTAAACAACAAGTTCATTTTGCTCCCCCCCAATGCCTCTCAACTTGATCTGACTTTCATCCTAACTCAATTTAGAGCCAAATATGACCCAAAAATTCAATTAGCAACCCAAAAACATAATTAAATAAATTAATCATATTTTTAAATAATTTATCTCTTAATTAATCAATTTTTTCAGATTTGAAGTTTTTGGATGTTGCAATTCTTCCACCCGTATCTATTCATTTAACATCCCAAAGACATCAATTATCAGCTAATCATCCAAATCTCTAATCTTTTACATATTACTAATCCATCCTAAATAAATAACTAATTATTGGATTATAAAATTAGGATGTTACATCTACTAAGTGTAATTTAGGGCCTATGTGAGCTTTAGGAACTTGGAAATAAAATTAGACACCCTAGTTGTGTTTTGACTGTAAAAGGAATAAGTCTGCAAATAGGTATCCCACTAGTTAATAAGAAATGATATGTGACTGATACTAATGTCATTAGCTAATGCTCTAAGTTCACCCCATGAGTTGTCATTTGATAGCATTTAAGTTGTCAAAATTGTGTAATGCGCCACAACACATGGCACAGAATACATATGACATGCCGTGATGCACCTCGACCCTACTGCACTAATTTATTATTTTTCAACCCTTTATGCAAATTCTTTGGTACAAACCAGTATCCCATGCTTTTTTAAACACGTTTTCCCCTAATTTTGGGTTATGAAATGATTTTTATAGTAGTTTAAGTTTTAAAAACATGGGATCCCATTTATATAAATTTTACAAACTTATTAATCTAATTGGATTAGTCGTGCGATTACCTTGGTTTTTTATTAAGTGTGGATTAGTAAGTGTAACCTTACAAGTCTCATGTGTTATGAATGAGTTATTTGTTCATGGCTAAAATATTGGTGCAAGTATAATAGTAAAACTCTAGATGATTGTTAATGCATGTGAATGATATATTTATGATTTTTAAAAAATGCCTCCCTCTATTATCTTTGAGATCAAGGGGTTGAGGGTTAAAAATGAGTTTTAAGAATTATGTGATTGTTATGGCATGTTGTATAGGTTATCTTAAATTTATTGAGTGTGTTCTAGGTGTCAGGTTTAGCTTTTGGCATATTGGTTGAGTTTCAGAAACTTTGATTGTTGTTTAGTATGAAAAGTGTGTATTTGCGTTTGGGTGTCCATCTTTTCAATGTGAAATATTTTGGTAGTTCATGAAAAGAGCTTGATGTAGACATCTAGATTACCTCAATTGAATGTTGAAAATGGAGCACATAGAAAGTTTGGCCCAAAAGCTATTAAATGATAGTATCGCGCTGTCACAAACTATGCAACATGTTGCAATACATGGCATAGAGAGGACATGCCGTAGCACGTTCCTATATTTCTTGTTTTTTTTTTGTTATTTTCAATCAATTTTTAATGGTTTTAAGTATCAACTGATATCTCATGCTTTTGGAATTGTTTATACTTTGATTTATTTTAGTTCTCACTTAGTTTTACATTGTTTAGTTGTTCAAAAACTTGGGATTCCACTTTTATCTCTTTTAGTGTTTATTTTAACTACAGTTAATTAGTTTATAAATAAGGTATGGTAATTCATTTGGGTTTGTCCCATTATTATTATAATGGTTTTGGCTAAATGACGGGATAATAAAGATGATTTTATAGATGGAGTGTAAACACCCATTCAAACAAGCACATTTCGAGAATACAGTAATCCATTAGAGCTTATGTAAACATTGCCAATAGCTTGCACCAGTGAAAAATAGTTTAACTCACATAACCAAACTAATCATCTTCACAAAATCATCATTGATCTATTTATTCCTAGGAAGAACTTGTATCATGTTAATTCTTGATTTAATTTAATATGTGAAATGTAAATTCTGTTATAAATTATTGATTTATAAGTCATCAACAATTTAACTTATCCTTTAAATTCCATGCAATAAATTAAAAAGAAAAAACCATGTATAGTTAAACTAAAATATATTTATCTGAGAAATGCCTTGATGGTTGGTTGGTCCAATCGCAAGTAAAAGATGGGTGTCTATTGATGATCTACAAAATTGAAATACATGGACTGAGCCCACAATGCACTACCCTTTTTGTAATCGTCTTCTTTGTCTCTACTAACTCCAGTCCTGTAGTCAATGTTTTTTAGACTTGGATTGGCCCATTTCAGTAGTTGGCTTGGGTTGGCTCACCCTGAACCAGGCAGCAATTAAAGACAAAAAAAACAAAAAAAAATGAACATAGAATGTGTTGTTGTGGGTTTAAATCATTGTTAAGAAAACCAGATCAAACCAACTGGTCAAACTGGTTTAACAAGGAATTGACACCTTGTCAAATATGGAACACAAGTAATTGAACAAAACAAGAGCCAACCTCAAACCAGTGAACTAGATTGTGAATTTGAACCAAACTGGCAATAAAAATATTTAAAAAAAAACTTGACTCAAGAAAAAGTGCCTTAGAAAACTTCTCTTTTTATTTATTTTTTGTGTTAGTTCCTTAGACTTAATTTTGCATGTATGAACATCTCTTTTATTATGTTCTTCTGACTTAATTTATCTATATTTTTATTTTATATGATATCATTTTAATTTAGTTATAATTTACTTCTCAAAAGTGCTTAATGACCAACCTCAAAAGCAAGCATGCTTCCCTTTTATCTCTTTTTTAATTAATTCTTTGAACTTATTTATTTATTTATATGTAAACAGCTTATTCACCTATATTCGTCAAATACTTATTTACATATCTTTTTAAATATATTTAGTTTTTGCTTCCTTTAAAAATATATGTGATCAGCATCTTCAAAAAAAAAAGAAATAAAATTAATTTATACTTTTCTATAATATATAAATATATTAATTTAATTTAATGACCAATTTGATTCTCATAACATTGATTTAAAACGAGTTTTAAAAAGGGCAAAATCAGCATTTTGAAATTTGTAAACCTTTCATTCCTGACTTCTGAGGCAATAAATGCGTCTCGCACTCTCACTTCTCATTGGTTACTCTTCGCAAAGATACGCATTGGGTACTTATCAAGATTGATGAGCACCACAACTAAGCCTAATGTTAGACTTCCATTTCACTTCCAAAGATCACTTCTATTTATTATAAATTAATTTTTAAATATTTTAAAAATTATATTTATGAAAATAAAAAATTAATATTAAATTTAGATTGCCAAAGTACATTTATATAATCCATTTGTAAAAAACATATAAAAATGTAATATTAAATTGAATTATTCATAATATATGTATACTATTCAGAGTATATATGGATAATTAATTTATAAAAAAAATATTATATTAAACTTTTCAAATTAAATATGTATTGATAAGATTGGTAATGAATAAATTCATTAAAAATTTGATATTTTTTATATATCTTTATTTTAATAAATGTAAAATAGAAAAATAAAAACTTAAATCTAGACTATATGCTTATCAAGAGTGATGGGTATCACGGCGTACATTCTCTAATGAGCACAAAAAATAGTTCATATTTAGTATTAAAATTTTTATGATTTTTATTTGGGGCTTTAGCAAATTTACCCTTTTCCTAAATTAAGATATTGGCCATTTCCTAATTTACCTTTGATCCAAAAGATAAAACTACCCTTAAACATCACAATACTCTGATTCCTCTTTTTCACACTGGTTTCACTTTTATCCACCCGAAAACGTGGAGATGACACTGCACTCTCGATCACGACAGCAAAGAAATTGATAGTAGACAATGAAATAACTCACACGATAGATAAACGGAGTTAGAGATTTAGTCAGGAGATTACAAGAACGTGAGGCGAGGCAGATTAGAAACTATAGATTCAGGTTGAAAAATCATGAATGCGAGGTGAGGAAGTCTAAAATTATAACTTTTACACAAAACCACACTAATGCTGTAGATCCAGGGTGAAGAAGTTCAATCAGACTCTGTTACAAGAGCCAGAGTTCAAGCGAGGGTTTCTTGAGATTTTATTTGATCTATTTTGGAAAAATAATTATGCATTTTTCGTATTACTGATTTGTGATACTACATCATTGGTATACGACTGTATATTAATTATAAACAAATTTATATTTGATTGTCTGGTTATATTGATCTACAATAGTATATCAGTGATATATTATTATATATCACTCATATATAAGCCATATCATTGAAAACTTATCAATTTGTTTATCATTGATATATAGTCGTATATAATTGCAAATCAATAATAGAGTTTTTTTTTTCAATGTTTAACATCCTCTTCATAATGTTTGGGAAGAACAGAGATGGAGAGAGAAGAAAAGTTCTACCATGAAGATGGTGATTTAGGCAAATTAGATAAAAAATTTTGATGAAGAAAATTACTCCACGAGAGATAAATATGATGATTTAAGAAAACTAGATCCAAAAACCTAATGAAAAAATATTCAGAGATGATAAATTAAAGAGGGAGCACGTATAATACGATTTTTGATGATAAAAATGAATTGTCCAATTAGGTAAATATTAGTTAAATCAAATATATTCTGTTTTAATAATAAATTTATTCTAAGGATAAAAAAATAAAAACACATTCAATTAATTTTATAAATAGGCCATATTTTAAAATATTTAAAAACCTCTTTCATAATTTATGGAAGTTATATTTTTTAATGTCATTAAGCTAATTTTTATTTTTTATTTTAATAAATATAATATTTACAATATTTTAAAATTAATAAAAAATCAACCGCACAAATGTTTTGGGTGAGATGGAGGGCCAGATCAGCCCCGTACTGATGAGCACCGCGGGCGGGTCTCACTCCTCAGTCTTGATTGGCTTCTCACTCTCAAGCTGCTATCAGAACGGAGTCGGACGGCGTCGATCGGCCTCGGCCTCATTCTTCGTTCGTCGTCTTCTTCGTCGATCGGCCTCATCCTGCCCGGTGAGATTTTCTTTCACTCTCATTTATCTCTCTCCCCAAATCAACCTAATCTCCGTTGTCCTACTCCTTCCCATATTCAAATGGGACCTTACTTCTGGGGCTTTTCTTCATATATGGACTTGTTTGGTTTGGTACAGTGAGGAGGAGGCCAAAAAGAAAATATACTCTGTTTCTTGTATCACGTATACTGGTTTTGGTGCCCTGGTTTCGGAAGAATTTTCTTATAAGGTTAAAGGCAATCGTTTTCCTTTGGTATATAAAAATTGAGGCTCTTTCCTCTCCATCCTTTATTTCTGTTTCTGCTTATGGCTGCTTAACAAAAATAGTTTATCCCAGCTTTACCTGAGCTATCAAAGTCTTAAGAGTGAATAATATTTTGATTCTTCAATGAAGACGTTGTTCTTTCGCTTTTGGTGCTTTAATTCCTAGGTATTTTTTTTTTTTGAAATCTTTGTTTCATTTAATAAGTGAAACGACACCCTTCTATTCTTGGTGACGAGGAATTTCCCTTCTTCTGTGTAATCTTTGTTTATGTTTGAGTCATAAAGCTTATCTTGAAATAGCTTTCCTTATAAATTATTAAACTTCATCTTATTACAATTGGAGATAAATATTGTGCCGAGGAATTGTAATGATGTTTAATGGGCAAAAGTTAGTTCTAAGTTATGTTGTAACTTATTTAGGAGTTAATATGTTTTTCATGGATCCATGGCTATTTCAATTGTTACATCTGCACCTACAACTAGGTGACTTTGACATTTGGCGAAATCCTCTGCGTTAACTATTTTTAAAATGTTCATATAGGTACAAAACTGTCAGTAATGTGTTCTAGATAAGAGAATGGGGACCTAACGCAGATGTCACAATTTATGTCGAAATCTTTCATTTCAGACAATGGGTGGCTTATGAAAGCCAGCATTATATAATTCATATTCCTATTTTGAATTATATAATTATGTCCGCTACACATTGATGTTTCAATCTGCAATGGTACGCGTCATAGAACCAAGGGCCTGCTTAATAGTGTTCTGCTTCCATTTATGATTATGGTTGACTACTGTCTGTACTGGTTTTTGTTGGTCCACTGGGACTTCTTACTTTCATTATTCTGAAGAAGGTTGTAGAAGTTATTGCTGCTATGAAATGCAGATTTATTATGATTTTTCGACCTGTGTAACATCATTTAGATATTAGTTACAATTACAATGCTTAGGCTTGTGCCAAAAAGGGGGGGGGGACAAAATATAGGCTCATATTGCTGGCATGGAAAGCTAAGCTTTTTATAATTTCACGTTTTGCCTTGCATTGTAGTGTCTGTGCTATGTGCTATGTATCAAAATATAGGCTCATATTGCTGGCATGAAAAGCTAAACCAAGGCTATATTCTCTGCGTTGATTATTTTTCTGTTCCTGTCTACCTATAAGTGGATTAATCAAGATCCACCAATCTTTGACAAGTGATGAAAGTATAACTTAGAAGTTATAATATTGTGTTTGTGGATTTTGTTTTGTTGTGCTTGTGAACTTGTGGCATTGTTGTATTGCTGTATTTTATTTCTTATATATATATGTATATATATAGTTATATATATATTTTATTTAATTACTAGGTTATCGATTGAACCATGAGACTTGTGACCTGCTGCCATTTCTAGTTCGCTATCCAATTTGGGTTTTAAAACATTGCCTATAGGATCTTGCTAAGTTGTGAACGGCTGGCAGTGCAATTTATGTGTAATTTGATTAGCAGTTGAAAAAACACACTCAAATTTGAAACATGCATGCTTTTCGGCAAACTGGAAGTGCTGGTTATATGGTGAAACGGTTCAGTGAGCTAGGTGTGAAGCTCCATTTGAATTCAACTTGGGAAGTTTCTGTGAGATTCTTGTCGTCTTCAAGCCGTGGCTCCAAGAATGGAGAAGATGAGTGGAATGATGCTTGGGAAGCTGCTTGGCTGCCGGAGGACTTGACACCGAAGGCCCAGGCTCCATGGGAGACTGATGTGAATTTCCCTTCAGAGGATCCCATGACGGTTCTTTCGGCAGATGTTGATGTGGAGACAAAGGCTTTTGTTGAGGACATGAATGAGAATTGGAATGAGAGGCGAAAAGGGTCGCAGGCTCAGCAACAGGAAAAACTGTGTGAGGGTGGTAATGGTGCACTTTACAGCATGGAGAATATGAAGAAGGATTATCGGTTGAAGAAGCAGAGGATACATGCGAGTCTATGGATGAAGGAGATTGAGAAGATGGAGGAAGCCAAATTGGGGGATTCCACTGTTGGTGGTGGAGATGATATCCAGAGATTGCTCGATAGCTGCTCTGAGTATGCCTTTCTCTCTCCCCCCCCCCTTCTATTAAGCAATGATTTGGAAATAGGTGCCAGAATACCTGACACAGTTATATATGAATGTTTGGATCATTTATCTCTATGTGTCGTGATTTGTTGTTGAAATTAATTTCTTAATGGATTGGTGCCTTAACATGGCTCAACTGCTATAAGTTTTGATTGTATCTTTCACGTTTTGGTAATTTTTTGTATCTTCTCTAAGTAATTTGAGTTTCTCGTGGATTAGCTTTATCTGTTTGTCTAAACAATCAGAGTTTCTCATGCAACAAAATATAAAGTCTGGGTTTACTTTTGCAGCAAGTTTGAGCGTTAAAATTGTATAATTATGAGTTTCCATAATGTCTTTTTCATACGTTTAATCCTCTAATGTGTTTTCTTGGTTGAAGAATGTGTCTTCAGAAATTAAGATGCCTACAATACTGTTCTTGCTGTCTGAGAAATGTAACAAATGCTTAAGTAACAGGTTACAAAGGGAAACTTTTGGTTGTGATCACCTGCTAATTTTTTATTGGTTAAACTTTTATGTATGCTTTTAATTCAAGTCTTCGTCTATCACAATATGTGCATGTAAGCTACTTATGCCTGTTTACTTGTTTGCTTTGAACAACTGTAGCATTTTCGATTCTGGCAACAATGATCTAAACAATGCAAAAGTTCCAAGTTCTTCTGAGTTAAAAAGTGCTCCTGATGGTTGGGAAACAACAGCAAAAGCTCCAGATGGAAATATATGGGAGATGTCACAGAGAGAAGAAGATATTCTTCTCCAAGAATTTGATCGCCGAATTTCTTATTGCAAGTTTCAGGTGCATTCGACTATAAGTTTAATTCTTGCCTTGCTACTCCTAATATAAGCATTGATATGATTCTTGGAAATATCTAATCATGGAGTTAACATGCTCTGGTATGCAGATTGCTAGTTTTATTAAGACTCATGTTTTCAGCCGGCGAAGACCGATTGATGGATGGAAATACATGATTGAGGTTGTGGGACCAAATGCTAAGAAAGGTAAAGGTAGTGTTTCTAGAATGCCTACCCTATCTGATGCATCTACCCAACCCTTCAAGGAGGATAAGACTTCAACGGAGAACACTTACCTTGGGCGAAGGTAAGTATGTAGCATGTATTCTCGCATTAATGGTGTAAAGCTCACAGTTCTAGCAACCTTGACTTAGGATGAAGGTACCATGTTTTCCTAGCAATCTTTGATCTCGATGCCCTGGCAAGTTTTTGCATTTAAGATAACAATTCGTGTTCTTTAATGGAATGATATTATGCAATGTGTTTCATGAGTCATGAGTGGGCTCTTTTCCTCACAGATGTTTTCTTGAATTTCTCTTGAAAGGAGTCTACATTCCTTCTTCTTTGATTTTGGTTGGCTTCATTTTGATCGAGACATTCATTTGTAGCTGTTAAAGAAGCATAGGAAGAGGCATTTCCTGATTCCATTACGGAAATAACAACTTAGTCTGAATTAGATCCAGTACATCTATGATCTGAGTGTGATTGTGTATGGCATCAAACACCTCATTATTTTCATCCATCCTCTTTTCTCTCAATATCTTGTGAAGACTCTGTCTTGTCTGTCAAATTTCACATATTGAACATTGCTTGGTCTTCTAATTGGTTACTTGTAACCAACTATCCTAACCAGTTATTGGAGTATCGGCTACAGTAGTTATTTTCCCACGGAAACACCACAAAATATCATTATTGCAAGGAAATCTCCACTGTGAATTGACAATTGATTTTTATGCGATTTGTGTTTTTTCTTTTGGGAGAGTTGAGTACTTGAGTTAACAACCTTGCCAGCACAATTTTTTTATCCCTTTTGGATCGGATCACTTGTGATATCTTGAGCTTGTTCCTCTTTCAATTGGAGGACTTAACGAGCTGAAACTAATTTGGATTGACCTAAGCAGGACCACACAAGATAGCAAAACTCTTCGTCGCACCTGAAAATGGGACAAAGACGGTGTGCAAGAGTGAAAATTTGACTGATAGAAAGAAGACTGAAGGAGTTGTCAGAAAAATTTTGGAAAATCATTTAAAGGAGATAATAACGGCTTGTGAAATTAGAAAATAAGTTCGTGAATTGATTGAGTAAAGGGAAGGTGTTAAGTATTTTACAACACTCATTTATAAAAACGATTACTTAATGTTTATTATGCTACATTAATATGGTTTTAAAATTATTTTAATTATTTCTTTCTTATTCACTTATTTGATATAAAAAATGATAATAATAAAATAAAAAATATTTATTTATAAGGGAGGGTTTAATTCAGAATCAGATTTTAAGGTTTATGTACCTTGTAATAGGTATTAAAATCTATGCATTTGGGGATTATAAATTGTTGATGAAAATATCTTTTGAAGAGAAATTAATTAAAAATAATTTATAATTTTGTAAATAAAATAATTTTTTAAAAATTTGATATATGTGTTTTATATTGTGAAAAAATAATTTAATTTTAAATATTTTTATTATTTTTGAATTTTTGAAATAAGAAAAAGGTAAAGAGTTTAAAATTATTATTTTTGTTGTGAAAAGAAAAGAGTTTAAAATTATTTTTTTATATTTTATAATTGAGAATTTAATCGCTATATCTATAGAGCTTTATTGGCTTATACAGTGATATAATTATTTTATATCTCTGGAAGATTTCAAAATCACAATAAAAGAGTTTAATACCTTAGTTTATTTAATTAAATTTTTAAATATTAATAATATGTTTTAGTATGTTCATACATTTATACCTTTTTAAAAGACTCTTAATCATCATACGTGCAAAGCTTTATTGACTTATACGGTAATACGATTATCCTAAATATCTGTGAAGATTCAAATTCCTCACACAATAAAGGATTAAATAATATATATAAATATATATTAAATATATTTTAATGTGTAATTATATAATTTACATTTTTAAACATAGAAATTTTAATCACTATACCTGTGAAGTCTTTTTCACTTACACGGGAAGGTGATTATTCTAGAAGTCTATGGAGATTGAACAATCTTACATGACCAAAAGATTTAATGGTTATTATACAAATACATTAATTTAATTAATTAATTTTATTAAGAAATGTTTATTATTCTATTTACAAAAATTATTTATTTAATTACTATATACAAATTGATAATCACATCATCTACAAAGATTTATTATCTTACACGATGATGTAATTAATTTAAATCTTTATAAAGATTCTTTAAAATCTCACACAAAACTTAAATATTTTATTGATTTAAGTTAAAAAGAAAAGTTAATTTTAATGATAGGTCATTGAAACTCATATTAATATATATAAGTTGGATCTTTCTATCTACGAAATCTTATTGATTTATATAGTAGATAATTATTTAAAATGTCTATGAAGATTTTAAATTTCACACAATAGATAAATCCCAAATAAATACATTTTCTCTCATTGTTATTATTAGTCCTACTATTATTATTATTATTATTATTATTATTATTATTATTATTATATTTAAAAAGATGTCCAAACAAAATTTAGTGTTCACAGTGTTATGATATCTCCATGAGAAAATATGACACAAAACTTGAGATAATTTGAAAAAAAGCTATGTTCGGCCATTAGGCTTGAGGCTCTTTGATGCACATCTTAAGACAGAGATTTAAACCCCAATAACAAGTAACAAAAAAGAAGTTATGAAGACAAGTTAATGGAGAGCATGTAAAAGGAGAGGTTGCAATATGATAAACGCAAATAATCACAGTGGAAATTATGACTATAATGAAATGAAATTCCAAGGTCACACATAGCAAAAATCATCACTACAATTATTTTTTGACAGTTTATACTGAAATTATATTAGTTGTTTCACTGCAATCAATAACACATAAAACAAATTAACAGTTGCAAAGATAATGAAGTTGAAAATAATAATTTGAGACCCAAAATCATGAAATTTATTATTACTTGAAAACTTCAAAACAAAATGATACTTAAAAATTATTTATTTAAACTATCATAAATAATTAATTATAAAATTACAGTTTATTAGATCATGAAATCAATATGAAGTCATTTTCAATTTTCATATTCAATTACTAAAGTAAAAGCAAAACAACAGCACGTTAGCCAAACCTTTACAGATAACAGAATCTCACTTCACAGCTTCAAGTGAAAACTGTAGGAAAAGAAACGGTGGTGACATCAACGATGTTCTCTCCGCGACAGCATGAAGGTCAGTATCGTAGCTTCCTCTTCACTCGATGGATGCTGCTGCTTTCTCCAAATTCGGACTCTTTGAATCTTTCTAGCGTTCTCTCGGTCTCCTCTTCCATCTCTTGTTTGTTCATCCCCTTTTCAGATCTCTCTCCCACTCTCGCTCCAACTTCTATTCTCTCTCTCTCTCTCTCTCTCTCATTCATTCATCCTTCTTCTCGGTTCTCTCTCCTTTAACCTCCAGAAATCTTTGCTATTGCTCTCTTACTCTCCATCTCTCTCTTGTTCTCGCCTCCAGAAGCAAATATAACATGTCCTTTCTCTCCATTTTCATCCGGTCTGAGTGCTGCATCTGTGCTCTATTTTTCTTCTTCTATTTCTGCCGCTTCTCTCTCTCTCGTCCTCGGTCCCTGTGCAGACTCCCTCCTCTTCTCTCTGTTCTTCATCCCTTTTTAAAGTAGAAGCAGGGAAGAGTTTTTTTTTTTAAGCTTGCGTGTGAGGAGAGAGTTTACGTGCTTCACCCTTCTCGCTCTGTATTTCTCGCTTTTTCTTTGCTGTTCCTCTATTGTGTTCATGTGTGTATGTGAGTTTGCTTTCTGTTTTTTTCTTCTTCTGTGTTATCGTGTGCGCGTGTTTCTGTTTTGCACTCTAGTACTTTTGCGTCTCTGTCCAAAAGTGTTTTTGGGCTGTGGGTGCGTGTGTTCTGCGTCTGCTCTTCTCCTTTGTCTCTCACTTTTTCTTCTCCCTACCTACATCTCCTCGTGCATGCGTTCTCTGCATGGCTGCATTTCTGCTCTTCTCGCTTTTTTCTGGGTTCCTCTCTGCCTTTGCGTGTCTGCTCTTGCTCAGAGCCTTTCTCTTTTTGCTTTTTTCTTTTGCGTGCTGTCTCTGGTTTCGCTCGGATGAATTGAAGGCTATAGGGGTGAAATGCTGGAGCAAACAGCGTTTCACCATCCTTTATTATATATATTTTTTAATTTTTAATTATAATGTTTTTAATTTTTTTAGGTGTACGTATATATAAATATATATATTTTTAAGGAACCAACCAGATTTAAAAGATTTTCAAAGGATCTAATTTTCAAGAAGTTGATCCTCAGAATTTTCTGATTGTCCAGATGATTTGGTGAAGAGGTTTTAAAGGATTTAAGTAATATTTTCTCTTTTATTTTCAAAATTGAATCTGAAAATAAATTAAATATAATCCTAAAAGGAATTAAATTTTATTTTTATATTTTTTATTTTTTTTGTTGTTTTAATGAACTAGAAAAAATTAAAATTTTAAACAACAAAAGATTATCTAGGCTAAAATAAAATTAAACCGTATTAATTAAATTTTTTTTATCTATTTCACTTTTTTTTGGTTGAGTTTATTATTATTTTTTAAATGCAAAAAATATCTGGACAAATACACTGTTCACACTCTTCCACCAAGTATTTAATGTAGTTGTATTTCTAAGACTCTAACTTGAGACTTTTGTAAAGTTGGTATAATCCCCTGTCAATTGAGTCAAGCACTCGGTGGCGCCAACAAGAGTCATTAGCAAGAAGAATTAGATAGAATTATTGCATGCATGTTCTGATTCAACCATGGAATTGGTGTTATCAAATGCTCTGAATTTAACCGCCAAAAGCAAGGGGTAAACTAATTGGGATAAACTAATCGCCTAGAAGCAATAAGTAGATGGTACTCTGAGTTCCTAAGACAAAGTTGCTATGCAATAGCTTTAACAAATGCTGCTCAGGAGTGTGACATGCGCCCCCCCCCCCCCCCCCACACAGACACACACACATGTACAACAAGTAATCCTTTTGGCTCCTCTTTTAATAATGAGTTGGCATTTTTTGAGAAAGGTTAAAATACATAAACTTTCTTTGAACTTTAGATGAATTGCATATGGCATCCCTAACCTTTAAAACTTGATTGAATACTTTCCTAACATTTTATTTTTTATGCATAAACCCTCCTCATCTTGATAGAACTATGAAGTCACCAACGGATGTTGCCACATCATTATTTTTTTTTTGCTTTTTGTGATATGCCACAACAAATTTAATTAGTTAAATGATGTCTGACATGGCTCAAGGAAGATAAATGTATACTACAAAATTCCCTTCAATTTTTTCCTCATTTTGCTCTGATCCCTCAAACATTTTAGACCTCAAAAAAAAAAAAAAAGAAGTCTTTGGATATTCGCAATGAAAATTTTAAAAGTCGAGAAATTTGATAATTGAGAGGCTTATAGGTACTGCGTAGGCACTGATGAATATTTCGAAGTCATGGTCTAGAAAGAAGAGTTTGGCAATGTAGAATCAATTTAATGAAAAACTATGCAAGATTCTGATTTTTATATCTCTATCGTGAAAAATCTGTTGATGCACCTAACCTAGGCTGTGTGATGGAATTTCATTAATCAGGATATAGCAGTGGTTGATTTTTCACA